TGATAAATAACTATCTGTCAAAAAGCTGATTTCTAAAATCATTTTCTTTTTTTTTTTTTTTTTTTTTTTACTGTTTTTCAGTCATTAATATGCAGATTTTTTCCTCAATAATTCCAAATATCTATAAAATAATAATTGTTTTTGCTGATGAAAATACTAACTGATAAATAACTATCTGTCAAAGTGCTGATTTCTGATGTGGACATTATTTATAGTTTTGGTCTTTTAATTTTTTATTTTTTTTACGGTCAACATGTAAATTAAGACCTTTTCCTGTAATTTTACTGGATAAAATCAGTAATTTAACAGCAAATCTTTGAAATAGCAGTTTAGAAGTGATTTACACGTCTTCAATGCTTATCATACAGTCTGTGTCCAAAAAATGGAAAATATCTCAAATGAAATGAAAAATACTTTATTTATCCCAGAAGGGAGATTCAATATATTACAGTAAATATTACTGTAAATACAGTAAAATGTTGGAATTTTACAGTCAAACATAGTAAATCCTATTTGTACATTTTATGAATATATATATAAATATATATTTATACATATTATCTTTAATTTAAAAGACTGTACAAACAATAATTTGATTTTAAATCTATAAGAGTCCATAATAACACATATATTCTTCCAAATAAAGGTTAAATTAGCAAAGTCATTCTATTTTTTGCACATTTAAATACAATAATAATAATAAACAACGGTATGCTTTGACAGTCAACCACTGCAAAAGAACGAATGTCCACGAGTCATAACATCGATTTTTAATGACTAAATATTATTATTTACAGTTTAGGCCAATGTTTAACATGTAAATTAATCCGTTTTTCCTGTGATTTAATATTCATTATCTGTAATGTGACAAAACAGGAAAATCAGTAAAATAACTGTAACTGGCTCATTAAATAACATTACTTTCTTCACTTCGTATTTAATGCTGTGTCCAAATCTGTTGACCTAAAGTGACCTCTCCACATCTGTTCCAGTCCCATCAGCCTCCACGGCACCGACAGCGACCCGGAGTTCTGGTTCTGAAGGGTTCCCTCCGTCCAGCGCGTGTCCTGAAACCTGCGACCGGTTTTCAGGTAAATTCTCAGATCGCCATTTATCTTCCTTCAGCTTCGTTCTCAGTTAAAAAAAAACAAAAAACATGAATCTACAATCGTCTCCAAAGGACAGCTTTTAATATTTTGTGATGAACTTAATGTGGAAAAAAAGTGTCCAAAAAAGTCCTAAAATCTTGTGTTCTTATTTATTTAATGTGACAGATTTAAATATAGAACAAAGGACGAGTCATTTTGAACAAATTGGGTCTTTTTGGACCATTTTTGAAAAGTTTTTTTGTCACTTTGATCAAGTTTTCAGGAAAACCAAAGAATTTTGACCAGTCCCTCAGACCTTCAGCAGACTCTGGACCGTACTGATCCAGCATGAGCTGCATAATGGGACCCTTCCTCTGACCGTTTCCCATGTTAGGATCAAAAATCCTATCGCAGTTTACCAGGTTCACCGGATCTGACCTGGAGGGCCTTGCTCCCACAAATAATTTAATCTATAAATAATTAATATCTAAACCCACGGTCTATAGACACAAGCGTCCTCGTGAATCCCTTGTTCAAACAGTACAAACGGGCTAAACTTCCCAGATTGGTTACTGGCCTTTGGGGCTCCGGCCCCGTGCAGTTCCAACCCTAAACAGAATTACACAGACTGTTTTATACACTCTGTCCCAGTGTGAAACTCACGGTGGTCAAAACAGTTCAAATTAGATCAATTTGTTTCTTTAACTTTAGGATTCAATGAGAAAATTGAAATTTTACATCTCACCGAATCTCTGTAGTTATTTTGGGTTGGTTGGATAGACGTGAAGTCGATCGGTTGTCCTCCGGACGTCGGCCCTCTCTTCTCTGAAATCTGTCTTTTAGAGTGAGGTAGAGGAGGATCTGAGTCCTGGTGGCCAACCACCAACCGTCCTGGAGGTCCCCGACGGAGCTTCAGCTATCCCACTTCTGACACCAAGTTGTTGTGGAAATTTTCTATGATCTACATAAAGTCCAGAAGTCCGAGTTGTCGACCGGATTAAACTGAGCCGAGGCCTAACGCTGGAGATGACTGGAATCAACTCTGATAAACTGTGTGGCCTCAACACCAGAACATTAAGTTGAACCAACAAAGGAAGGAAAGGAGGCGACCTGGAACACTTCACGGGACTTCTTTGGTTTTGGTCGAGACACCAGAAACTCGCCGCCGCGTCTCTTTGAACATAGAAAATGTCAAAATAAAGCGAAACAACTTCCTGCGAGTTGATTCAACTCAACATTCTGAGTTCATCGGGTTTGTTTCGTTTCCATCATCTCTGAGAAGCGACGGATCGGCCGACGTGCTTCTAGCTTGAAGTCCTGCTGACGGTTTGTTGTGTCCCAGGACTGCCTCCTCTGGTCGGGTGTGTGCTGCTGATGGCCGGACTGTCGGTTCTGGTGCTCGTGCTTCTGTACAAACTGAAGAAGAAGAATCAGGACGTCAGGAACAAGCAGGTAAATGTGAGTAAAAAAGGAAAGGAAATAGAAATAAAGGAAATAAATGAATGAGGTGGTTTTTCAGGGATGTTTCTCAGATTCAGACTTTAATCCTATTTGTGGGTTTTCCTTTTGTTGGCAAAGACATAAAACGCTTTAGTTTTAATAACGTTGCGTTTGCGTTCTGTTGTCCGAAAAAAACATTTTAGAAATCATCCAAATGCGTCTTTTTAAATCTCATTTCAGGCTTTAATTCCCTGTGACGGCGGCTGAATTCACCTTAAAGGCTTTTGTCTGTTTTAAATCACATCTGAAAAGCCGGAGCGAGATTTTACAGGAAACACTGAAAAAAATAAAAATAAAAAAACAGAAAAAGTTGTTAATCTGGGGAAAAAAAACCCTAAAAGTGTAAATAACACATCAGACATCTCTATCTGTATTTATTATTTTATTGTTTGCTGTTATTTGAAAGAAAGTTGAGGTTTGAAAACTATAAAATATATAGATTTAAATGTTATTTTAATATTTTCCCTGTTTTGTTAAATTACAGACAATTTCTATCAAAAAAGAATAAAATCAAAATCCTGCTTTTTATTTGAATTTGTTCTTTTATGTGTAAATAAAACATTTTAGTTTTACTTCATCAAGCATTGAAAAACGGTCAAAACAGTCAAATTCTTACAACAGCTAAAAAAAAACTAAAATAAATCACGTCGACGAGGAGAAAAACTGAACTTCTACAAATAATTCGAAGCTTCATAACGTGCAGCCTTAAATTTAGCTTCAGTGGATTTAAACAGGCTGAGATTCAGATTGTTTTCCAGGTGTTTGCTGTCATTTCCTGTTTTTCAGGTTTCTTTCTCTATGTGCTGCCAGACGTTCACCGTTTACCAGAGCATGTTTCTTACACTGCATTTCATGTCATTCGGTGAAACGAGAAGAGAATTAAAAACATCGTCCGGCTGCAAACACGAACCAGCGAAGGCGTTAAAACGACGCCGCTGTCGTTTGTTTGATGCGCAGATCTGCAGGATTTGATCCGTGTCATATTCATATCTCATGATGACGGTGTTTCTTCAGGTCTGCTCTAGCATTAGTTGAGCTGCTCTCTTGTTCAGCTGTGTGTCGTACTTCTGTCTTGTTGCTTTCCTACTTTTAGCTCAAACATGTTTTTAGTTTCCTTCGGGACTTTGACCTTCTCGTCTTATTGAACCTTCAGTTTGTCGTCTACGAGAACACCAGAGAAGGTTCCATCTACCAGAGTCTGGATCCCGGCGCCACAGGTCTGGACGAGCCGTACTCCACCATCAAGCAGGACGCCGCCTGAAGCAAACATACGTCTGTGGAGACTCCAGCCTTCATTTTCTTCTTCTGGTCATTTTAGAGAAACAATTCATCAAAAGACTTCTGACCTCCTTCTGATGATTTTTTTTGGTAGTGTTTTGTCTCCTGTTTTTAACTTTAAATGTCATATTTTTAACTTTTTATCCCAGAATGTTTGTGACTTCCTGGTAATGGGAGCTGTTTCCTGACCTCCAGTGACCTCCTGTAGGTGTGATGCTGATCTGTTGAAGCTCACCAACTAACATCTGGATCTTTTACTGCACATGTCCGACATTATTTCTTTGTTTTGTTATTTCATAATCTTCAGCTTTGATTTTTATAGTTTCAGCTTTTAATTTTGTATTTTAAGTTTGTTGCGAAAAAATTTTGTACTTTTTTTTTCAAAACCTTTTTTCCTTTAATTTTATCTTTTAATGATTAAAGTCATTTAACATGATGAAATTAAAAACTTTGAACTTTTTATGCTTTGAAAGAAAATGAAGACAGAAATACTCCTGACACCATGAAGGAGAAGGAGTCCTGGTGGCCTCCTCACTAGTCTCCTTCTAGTACCTCCTTCAGAGGAGTCACAGGAGTCCTGGTGGCCTCCTCTCTAGTCTCCTTCTAGTACCTCCTTCAAAGGAGTCACAGGAGTCCTGGTGGCCTCCTCACTAGTCTCCTTCTTGACAGAGGGTGAAGTCCACGTTGACCCACTTTGTAAACGTCCTTCATGAGTTCTGGGAATTGTGCTGCCTCTTCCTGAGGATCACGATGTTTAATGGCACAGATCCACATTCTGTCTTTCACTGAACTCACAGTTGAACTCAGTCACAGCGTAAACAAACACAGCAGCATAAATAGAGGAGTGAGCAGCAGCAGTCCACCGACACCATGACCCACCTCAGACTCAGCATCACACTGTGTGAGGAGAAATCGCCTCCTGCTTTATTCAACATTTAACCTCTAATTATTCTTGCTGAAGAGTCCGTTTATGAAATGTGACCGTCTTTAGAGCGCTAGATGAGATGGATTTTTGTTGTCTGATGTTTTGCAACTAATTTTGGCACATCAGTATCTCCAGAAATAAAACTCCAACAGCCATGAGATTGAACAAAGACGCAGACAGAACAGGTTTCATCAGATCAGAACAATTGAATGGACAAAGCAGAGGACAAGTTCTTGATTATCGGAGCTTGAAAATGGAAAGAAGAAAAAAAAACTGAATGTAGGGTGATGTTCAGGATGGTTCCTGTCAGTGTGTGTCTATGGACGGATCCATGGTTCTACTAGAACCCAGACTTTGGTCACATCTCACCAGCTGTTGAGGCTCCAACATCAGTAGAACCTGATGAGGTGAAACTGGACCAGACAAGGGTCCAGTTTTCTTGTGATTTTTGCTTAAAATCTGTCCAAGATGACTGAAAATTGGTCAAAATGACTCCAAGCCTGTGAAATAGCTGGAAATCATCCAAAATCACTAAAAGGTTTGCAAACTGGACAGGGCTCGTGTCCAAATGGACTTTGTCCGAAATGACTTGAAATCTGTTTAAAGTTCGTGAGGCAGCTGCTGCGAAACACGATCCACCTGTTTCTAGAAAAGATTCAGTGTTTTGTTCAGTTACAATAAATGAAAACAGAGTCTTTATATTCCATCAGTTTAGGAGGTGAAACAGCAAACAGAAGAACAAAATGTACAAAACATCCAGTAGCTCTGTTCACATTTCGGTCACACAAATAAGAATTTCTCAACATTTGAAAACATTGTGGTGTTTGTTTTGCAGTGCTGCCGCTCACCTGGCTGCTGGCGGCTGCAGGTAAACAAGACAAGATAGTTATTGATTCACTGCATGATAAACATCAGTGTGGTGTCACAACACTTGGTTCTGGTTCTTTCATGTGTGTTTTTCAGACATTTCCTCAGACATCGTGGCCACCTGCCAGGATGAAGTCCAGCAGCTCACCTGTGGTAAGTCTGCATCCCTTAAAGCGACTCCAGCGGAATAAAAGCGTCTGCTCGATAAACTTTAATCCTGTGATGGTGTCGGAGCTCGATGTTGGTGTTTAAACGAATGAAGCTCAACGTTTCACAGCTTTAATGTGCAGCTGAGAGTGGCTGAGTGTGAGACCTTTACCTGTAAAGCTTCACCTCTCTGCTGACCTCTGACGTCTCACAGCGAGGTTCTGTTTCCTGAACTCTTGTCTCGTGTCTCCAGCCGGCGGCGGCGTCATCTGGGTGCAGGCGGCTCTGTATGGACGCTCGGACTCAGAAACCTGCAGCGAGGGGACACGACCGGAGCAGCTCAGAGACACCAGCTGCTCGCTGCCGGGAACCGACAGCCTGGTCGGGAAAAGGTAGAAAGACGAGACGGAAACCTGGAGAAACATTCACACACCATCAAAATGATTATTTCACAGGTGTTTTCTGTTATTTTCAGTTGTTTTGAACGTTTTTGCTGATAGATTTTTCTTTTCTTTTTCCTTCAGAGCCTCTTTCCTGTGATTTAAACATTTGTTGTTGTTGTTGTTGTTGTTGTTGTTGATTTCCTTCTCTGTGTGTGACCTTCAGGTGCAACGGGAAGCGAACGTGCCAGCTGAGCTCCAGTCTGCTCCACAAGTCTGAGCCCTGCGTCGGCACCTTCAAGTACCTGCAGACCAACTACACCTGTTTACCTGCCAGTCAGTGCGACTAGAAGACAGGCTTCAAACACGACCTGGACACCAACAGGAGTTTATCAAACAGTGCAATGAATGGAACGGACTCAAATAATGCTTGTGTTGTTTGTTTACTTCACAGTTCACCTGATTCTGTGTGAACATTCTGAGACTCACCTGCACTGTGGTGAGAAATCCATCTACAGTCACCACTTTATTACATTTAAGTCACTGAATTTATGTAAAACAAATGTTTGATGATTCAACAGTGATTTACCTTTAGACTAAACGTTTCCTGTTTCAGCTCAGTCCGGATCACCAACATCATTTATATTTGCTAAACACCAGAATAATGAGAGAGAGAAGTTTTAACTGAATTTTTAATTTTTAGAATAATATTAATTATTATTATTGTTACATTTTCCTCTAATATTTGATCATCTTTGTGGTTTTATCTCTTGATGTTCCACCGTCTGGTGTTGTCCAGCTGAAGGTCAGGTGATCTCCGTGGTCGGAGCAGACTACGGACGCCGCGACCGGACCACGTGTTCCTACAAACGTCCGGCCTCTTGGTTCCACAACGACGACTGTTGGGCTCCAACCAGCAAAGTGGCCGAAAGGTTCCAGAGTTTAGTCTCGACTTCAGGATTCAGATAAGACGTGAAATAACTTCAGAGCTTCACTCACGCTGTTGTGTGTGTTTGTTTGTTTGTTTGTTTGTTTGTTTGTTTGTCGTCTGCAGCTGCAACGGAAGGAGCAGCTGCAGGATCCGAGCCAGTAACTCAATGTTTGGAGATCCTTGTCCTGGGACGTACAAATACCTGGAGGTGTCCTACGTCTGCCAGAGTGAGTACAGCAGTGGAAGTACTACAATAAATACTGACCTAAATACACCGTAAAATACTGCAAAATACTGAGGTAAAACTACGATAAATACTGACGTAAATATACCGTAAAATACTGTAAAATATATTGAAATACTGACATAAAACTACTGTCAGTGTGAGTCAACTGTTAAAAATAAAAATTCAAGCCATTCATAAAAACCTGATTTTAAAAAAGTGCTTTTCCAGAAATAAAACACATTTTTTGAGCTTCCTCTTTATTGAATGTCATCATTCTTTGGCTTTATTTGACTAATTTATAATTAATAAATACTTACGATTAAAAACTGCCAGTGAGGTGACATTCCATGTCCCCAGAGCTGGTCTACGCCACCAGGGGGCGGTACGCCAGGAGGCCTGCTCCTGCCTACCACCTGATGGGCATAGCACCTGACCCTGATCCTCTTCCCCGAGGGCAGACCGGGGTGGTGGTTCCCATTTTTAAAAAGGGGGACCGGAGAGTGTGTGCCAATTTTCGAGGTATCACACTTCTCAGCCTCCCCAGGAAAGTGACTCTAGGGTGCTGGAAAGGAGGCTTCAGCCGATTGTCGAACCTCGGATTCAGGAGGAGCAATGTGGATTCCGTCCTGGTCGTGGACCAGTGGACCAGCTCTTTACCCTCGCAGAGCTGCTGAGGGGGGCATGGGAATTTGACCTGCCAGTCCACATGTGCTTTGTGGATCTGGAGAAGGCCTATGACCGTGTCCTCCAAGGAACTCTGTGGGGGGACTGAGGGAGTATGGGGTACCAGGCTCGCTGCTACGAGCCATACGGTCCCTGTATAACCAAAGTGCGAGCTGTGTCCGCATACTCGGCAATAAGTCGGACTCGTTTCCAGTGGGTGTTGGACTCCGCCAGGGCTGCCCCTTGTCACCGATCCTGTTTGTGGTTTTCATGGACAGGATCTCGAGGCGCAGTCAGGGAGAGGAGGGTGTCCGGTTTGGGAACCTCAGGATCTCGTCTCTGCTCTTTGCAGACGACGTGGTACTGTTGGCCCCATCAGACCGTGACCTCCAGCACTCGCTGGAGCGGTTTGCAGCCGAGTGCGAAGCGGCAGGGATGCAGATCAGTACCTCCAAGTCCGAGGCCATGGTTCTCTGCCGGAAACCGGTGGATTGCCACCTCCGGGGGGGGGGGTTTAAGTATCTCAGGATCTTGTTCACGAGTGATGGAAAAATGGAGCGCGAGATGGACAGGCGGCTCGGTGCAGCGTCAGCAGAAATGCGGGCGCTGTACCAGACCATCGTGGTGAAGAGAGCTGAGCCGCAAGGTCCATCTACGTCCCTACCCTCACCTATGGTCACGAGCTTCGGGTCGTGACCAAAAGAACAAGACTTCCTCTGCAGGGTGGCTGGGCTCAGCCTTAGAGATAGGGTGAGGAGCTCAGACATCCGGAGGGAGCTCAGAGTAGAGCCGCTGCTCCTTCGTGTCGAAAGGAGCCAGTTGAGGTGGTTTGGACATCTGGTTCGGATGCCTTCGGGGAGGCTTCCTCTGGAGGTCTTCCAAACACGTCCACCTGGGAGGAGACCCCGGGGCAGACCCAGAACCCGCTGGAGGGATTAGATCTCTCGGCTGGCCTGGGAACGCCTCGGGATCCCCCAGGAAGAGCTAGAAAGCGTCACTGGAGGGAGGGAGGTCTGGGACGACCTGCTCCACCTACTGGCCCCACGACCCGACCCCGGATAAGCAGAAGAGGGAGGGAGGATGGATGGATGGATGGATGGATGGATTTAATTGATTTTTTACAGTATATCTTAAACATAGAATGATTATTCATCAACACTGCTTGTAAATAAAAGATAAAATAAAAATACGTCCATCCAAGGCTAAATCTAAACCCGTCAGTTATCTGGTGAATCTGTTTGTTCTTATTAACTGAATTCAAAATGTAAAAATATTCAGGATTTAATTCGTAAGAAGTCGCTGAAATGATCTGATGTGACGTTTTCTGTTCTTTCTGCAGAGTCGGTGTAGACGTCACAATAAGAAGAAAAAATAAAAGAAGGTCTCATAAAAAATGACGTGAATTCTTATTTTTTCCTGCTAAACAATCAATCCTTCATATGCAGAACATTTCTCTCAAATAACAATAAATATCAGCAAAACAATTCAGGGTTTTTTTCTTTTTAATGCAGTCAAACCTGATAAAAGAACAAATGACTTTTAATGTGGACATTTTTTACAGTTATTTTATTTTTTAAAGACAAGTCGTGGTGTTCTACTGGTACAATGAGACTGAATCAGCTGGAAACTCAAACATCTGAACCAGCTGCTCTCTAAACACTTCAGTCTATTCAAGTTTAATGAACTCTAACGCGGAATCAGAACCAAGTACAACTCCAGCATGTAGCGGCTCAGTGAACGTGGTCTGGTCTCTGTGGAGGAGAGTCATGGTGTCAGAGACCTTGTAGAAGGACAGAACACCTGCTCTGTGGTCCAGGTACACTCCTAGTCTGGGGGAAGGAACACCTGAGCCGGGAGTTCTAGTTTCGTTGTGGTGAAATCCACAACCGAGGGCGGAACAACCTAAAGCCCAGGATTTGTCATTTTGTCCAAAATAACATTCATTTGACCGTCCTGCTCTGCTGATGCTCTTGTATGCGACTGCTACAAGACCTCCCATTCCTGTCAACTCCACCTCCCAGTAACAACGTCCAGTCAGACTCTCTTTACTCAGAGCCTGACACCAACTGCCAGTGAATCTGTCTGGATGACGAGGATGAAACTGTGGTTTTTTCACACGTTCTGCTTTTCTGTTCCCATCAGATAACAACAGCCAGTGGTGTGCTGTGTTTGGATCCAGAGTGATTTCTCGTGAATATTTTAAGAATTCAGCTCTGGTCGTTGGTTCTGGTTCTGACAGTAGAACATCCACGTGAGTGATGGCCTGTGAGATGTTTGTCCATGCGTCCCTCAGAACGTCCTGGAGTCCATCTCTGAGCTCTTCCACAGCTGCTGTCACGTCCTCAAAGTGTCTCCGAGGACGGATGCTGATGCTGGATGAGTGTGTGGACTCACTGAGTGCTGACACTGAGGGGTAGTCGTGGAGGAAGTGGCTGTGATCTGGTGTCTCTGAGAGCTGCTTCAGCTCAGCGTCTTTCCTCTTCAGATCACTGATCTCCTGCTGCAGCTTCTCCTCCAGCTCTTGGACTCGACTCACTTCAGCCTCCTGCTGGGATCTGATCTGCTGCTTCACCTCAGAGCTTCTTTTCTGGATCAGACGGATCATCTGGCTGAACACCTCCTCACTGTCCTCCACTGTTTTATCAGCATAGACATTGATGGCCTCCAGCTCCTGGTGAAGCAGCTTCACGTCTTTCTCTCTGTCCTGGATCCTCTGATGGACGTTCAGTCGACTCTTCTCCAGCTTCTTCTGCTTCTGCTTCCTTTCTGCTGCAGCTGAGACGGTTTTATGTCCTTCATGTTCATCCACAGAGCAGAGATAACAGATCAGCTGCTGATCAGTGCGACAGAAGATCTCCATCAGCTTATCATGATGAGGGCAGATGTTCTCCTGGAGGTTCTTGGAGGGCTCCACCAGCTTGTGTTTCTTTAATGGAGGTGAATCATAGTGAGGCTGAAGGTGTATCTCACAGTACGAAGCCGGACAGACCAGACAGGACCTGACAGCCTTCCTCTTCCTCCCAGTGCAGACATCACAGGCCACATCTTCAGCTCCAGCATAGCAGTGATCAGCAGCAGCAGCTTGGAGTCCAGTCTTCTTCAGCTCCTCCACTAACTCTGCCAGCAGGACGTTTTTCTCCAGGACAGGCCTTGGTGTGAAGGTCTTCCTGCACTGAGGGCAGCTGTAGGTTCCCTTCAGGTCCTCTGAATCCCAGTGGGCATTAACACAGTCCAGACAGTAGCTGTGTCCACAGGAAGTAGTCACCGGATCCTTCAGCAGATCCAGACAGATGGAACAAGAGATGTTCTCTGAAGTCAGATTAGATCCTCTCTGAGCCATGTTCTGGTCTGAGCAGCAGCTTTCAGTGAGGTGAGTCTGTATGAACCCGTTAGATCCAGTCAGCTCTCTGGTCACCTGTCGAGTTGTAAAAACACAGTCGCTGTAAAACATAGACGTTTTTTAACACTTTGAGACTGTCAGATGTTTAAAAACTATTTACTGCAACTTTACAGATTTTCCCTCTTTAGTTATTTTACAGATATTTGCTTCTATTTGAGTTTTGTTGAATTACAGACAATATCTTGTAAATCACAGAATGAAAGTAAGAATTTACATGATGAGTATTTTTTTTAAAAACACTAAAACAAAAGAACAACAAAGCTGTTGTTCCGGGCCGCGGCTGCACGGTGACCACGTCTACAAAGAGACTTTCTGAAAAGAACGACTGCAGAATACATGAAGAGTGTGAGAGTAGGAAGGACAGCGGCGCTTCCATCTAGAACCCATTTACAACACATGTCAGTGCTCTTCAGATCCAGAACAACTACTGACTGATCGAGTCAAAGCAAAATACACGTCTGTATTCATTCATGCTTTGTTACTTGAAACCACATGTAAGCCAAAGGCAAACAGAGGGACCCTGAACCTGGGGACTGGGCCAACAAGTTAAACCAGTTTTTCAACAGATTTGGTCTCACCCCCTCCCCCTCTAGCCTGAGCACTGTCCTGCCTACCACCAGCTCCTCTTCCCTGGAAGCCCCCTCCACGTCCTCCCCTCCCCCCATCTTCACACCAAGGTGAGAATGCAGTTTTAGAAGACCAGAGCTTCAACTTCAGCTTTAAGGTGCTGGAGGCTTCTATGGACATAATGCAAACACTCAGTGACTCTTTACTCTTACTTTCAGCTGAACATGTTCAGCTCATTTAAAACTGGACTCAGCAAATACCTGGAATGTCTGACTGCTATGAGCTCATAGGACATCATCTTCATATTTTTTCTCAGTCCAACAAATAACATTGAATATGCGCTATGAATGGAGCACTCTGAACCAATGCAGCCTCCAGTGGTCACAAAACATTCATCAGGTCACATCAGGACTCAAACAAAATCAATAGGAAATCATTTGCATATGAATGACCTCATAGATCTGTATAGTAAAGGCTAGCGGCCACACTGGCGGCCATCTTGGTACGGTCCGCTCGCTCACCCAAACCATGGTGTTGTCGTGGTGCCTGTACTATCTAAATAACCATAACGTGCTCAGTTTTCTACCGATTATCAAACGGTTTGGTTTGTTGTAAACGCCAGAGGTGTAGTTATAACACTGCACTTATGGATAATTGTGTTACACTCTCATGGCCAGCAACAATTTGTATTTTAATTATTTTACTTGTATTTTTGTAAGTAGAATTGTAGCCACGTTAACAACGTTTGTAAGAAACCAAACTGTTTGTAAATCCGTCAAGATTTGAGCGAGATAAGAGTATTTACTTTTGTGCAGATCGCTCTGCTTTCTTCACGGAGCACAGGTTCTACCAGAGAGCTGCCCGTGGCAAGATGGCCGCCGGGGATCCCGCTCGACACTCCGCCGTAACACATCGAGCCTTTATTATATATATATATCTATGAATTACCTGCAGAATACATTCGTTTCTGCCCTAATACACACATTTTAGACGCGGATTTACTGCCGCGGAACCACCGTAACCCGAACCCGAACCCTTTCCCGCCGTTGTGAGCCGCGGCTCAACAGTCTTCAACCAAACTGACATTAAAAGTTGCACAAGTCACCGAAACATACCGACTGAGCGACCTGGACACCACACCAAGCTCACGGCCTCCACTCACAGCTGTCTTCAACCCAGAACGAACCTGCAATATGCGTGTAGAGCGTGAGAGCAGGAACCACAGCGGCACTCTCCAGTCCCTCCAGTTTTCGTATGAGCGGAAACAGGAAGTTGGTCCGCACTATGGAACCGGGGAGCTGCAACCACGTCGTGTCAAAGGTTCCGCCCTTCTACGTCATTATTTCTACCGGACGAGTCTCCCTAAGTGTGCAAATATAATCAGAATCAGAATCAGAATCAGAATCAGTTTTATTGCCAAGTAATTTTTACATCACCAGGAATTTGACTTGGTCCATTGGTGCAATGATAGTAACACGAAGTGATCTTAAACAAGTACACACAATTACCAGAACAATATCAGCTGTGGTCACGTGTTTTAGATGTACCACACTGTACAGAATGTCCACATCCAAAATGTTTGTATTTTCACAAATGATGTTTTTTCATTATGATCATAAAACTACAATGTTTTACTGTATTTCAAATGACCAGAGACACAACAACAGCATCATTTCACAGATGTCGGCCAGCTGCAACTTTACCGATTTTCCCTCTTTAGTTATTTTACAGATTTTTTCTTTCACAGTTGTTGAACGTCACATTATTTCACTGAGTTTTAATGTTTTTTTCTGACACCTTTGCTGCCAGATT